CCGGACGTTACAGTGACTAAACGTGATCATGCACGTGCACTTCGATATCAGCAAAAACTCGGATTGTTGTTTGGCGCTCAAATATTCCAATTAATGCTTTAATTAGGCAAATATGACTCTATAAATACAAATAATAAAAGATACAAGTCGCCCATATATAAAAACTTCTTTTTTTCTATTTTTATACATATGTTCCGAGAGATATGCAATATTTGTACAATTCTGTCTTTATTAATAGACGTTTAAACAAGGAACAATACTAAATAACGCTAAAATATAGCGTAAACGTAGCTTAAATAAAAAAATTTGAAGAAGTTTAAAACAAAATATTTTCAACTTTTCGTTGAATTCATGTTTTTTCCTTTATTTAAAATCGTTTTTCGTATTATGTGACCTATGCACTATATAATTTGACTCCTTAAGTGTGTTCTGTTTCACGCATGATGCACATGATGTATTATTTTATCTTTATTGTTCACCGAATATTCCTAGTTTACACCAATAGTTTAATACACGCGAATTGATTGATAATAGTTTCTTATAAATTCTTAATTTTGATGTTAAGTTAAAAGAACAGACTATTACAAAATGATTCACACTAAAATGATCAAGATCAATTAAATACATGAATTGTGCTGTATACATTTACACGGATCGCCGAAATTACGCTAATTTAATAGAACGTTGCTAGTTGATACGAGTATTAAACGATCCGATCGGTAAAATCAGTGTAAACTAGGACATTATTGAAAAATGATAAAATAATACATCGTGCGCATCATGCATGAAACGGAATGTACCCAAAAATCAAGCAAAAATAAAAGTATACTTACCAAATCTGCGATCCACGGAGTCGCGATACAACTCACTATATACGTATAGATATCACGAAGAAAGAATTGAATGATACTACGTATCATGTAAAAACTTGCAAGCTGCAAGAGACTGCGAACAATGCGAACTTGTGAAATGCTTCTTTTTCCTCTTCTTCTGTTAACGATACACTCAAAATGTCATATACAGGATCACGTCTCATCAATATCACGGGTAGGCTCATCAATATCACGAAGCTTTTATATATAATGATAATCACGAATATCTCAATCACGAAAACGCCCACTGCCAATTTGCGAAGTGAGAGCGATTGCATTATTGTAAGGCCCAATGTCCACGATGCTAGAAATCGATTCGAGTTCTCGGATCGAGAAATGTGTAACCAATCAACTTGCCGGTTTTCCGTAAAAACTGTAATCTGATTGACTACACATTTCTCAATTCGAGAACTCGGACCGAGTTCTAGCATCGTGGACATTGGGCCTAAAAGAGCCTTGACCCTCGAATCTCTTGATATAGCCGAATAGGAGATCAGCACCGTTACAGCGTAACTCTCTGTGGTTGGCCGATTCATTGGCGCGCTACTATACACTCCGTGAACTACAAAAATAAAGTAATATCTCATACGCATTATGCATGTAACGGAACGCAGCCTATGGCTGTGTTCGGAGAGACACTTTTTGTGTCATTCTACAATATTTTCATCGTTCATATAATAATTAGGTATAAAACAAGCGAGGATAGTGTATGACACAAATAGCGCTGATAGCGCGCTCCCCGAAGCGCAGTCTAATATGATGTGCCACATCATAAAATTTGTTTAGTAATAACAATTTCATTTTAAAAAATGTTGTTTTTAAAGCAAATCGAAATAACTTCGAATCGATATCAAAATGATAAAACATCGATATCTTAACAAAAACTACATAATTTACTTCTTTAAGAATCTGGCGATGTATATATTAATCTTCGTTTGAAAAATATTTATAAAACACAAACATCGAAATAAGCTTCAAACGAGCAATATTCCGATTTGATGGAATTTCGTTGACTTCAATGTCAATTTAACATCGATTCAATGAGTCATTTCTCACTGGAGAGTGATTTAACGATTTCTTTTTTGATATGACATCGCTGATGATGATGATGATGGAACTGGTCGAAATGTCCGATCGATTTTCATCAGCGAGTTTCATATATGTAACAAATTTTAAATAATTTTGATATATTGTATTTTTAATCATAGTACAATTATTTACTCTCTCGCACGCACTAACACACGCACTTGCCCGTAGTTATATTTCATTGTTTGAATTACAATGAGATGTAATTGAATCGAATAAGTATTTTAATCATAATGCTAACAGATTATTCAATTCGCACAATTTTATAATTCCATATAAAATATGCGCATACATACACACGAACAAAACATCCCCTCCCCCATTTTCATTTTGTGAAAGCAATGTTTATAGTTTCTCAAAAAGAGAAGGAACTTATATTTGTGTTAAATATTTATACCATTGTGAAGTATCTATACCATACACTATAAAAATAAAAGCATTATAAAAGTGAAAAGCATAAAAATGTTATTAATGTAATCTATTTGCAACTGCAATTTAATATAATAATAAAATTATATATTTAATATAATAATAAAAAAATTTACTTCGATGACCAATGTAATTAAGCGTCACTTCCAAGATGAGAGCTAGCCCGTGGCTTCATTTTTTTTTAATTTTATGCAACGTAAAGTGCACGATTCGAAAAGATTTAATTGACTTGTACAGAAATTGTATGAATAAGCTATAAGTTTCTGTTAATATATCAATCATTATCTAGGTTACACAGGATGGGATTGTACAGAGATTTCTAATACCATTCCTACTATTTCTCTTATGAGCACCATATTGCTCATCACGAGCAATGTTTTTTTCGTACCAGCTGTATACGTAGCCGTAAAACGAAAGTTGTACGCAGAAGGGCTGGTATATTTGATTACGATGCTGTTCTCGTCTCTGTATCATGCCTGTGATGAAAATGGCCGATTTTGTATTACAAAGTACGAGGTATATGTCTTCGAATCTCTTTCTTTATTTTTAGACATCCTATTTGTAAAGAGTAACTATAGTCTAGTCAAGAAAAATAAAATTTTAATATAGTATTAAATTTCATTAAAAATGAAAGAAAGCAATTAGTTCAATTATCTTTAATGAATAATAATAAAAAGAAGTTTACACTTTTCGTGATATACACACACATATTTTACAATCGAAAATAAATAAATTTCAACTGAATTATTAAAATTTACATCTTTATGTCTTCAGTACATCATATTTATGAAATACTTAATATATTTATTTGATACAGATCTTACAATACATGGATTTTTTTTCGAGTATTTTGGCATTTTGGGTGACATTGATAGCAATGGCAGAATTACCAATCACTATTATACCATTATGCCATATGACAGGAGTGTTTGTCATCACTCTTGGGATGCAGATAAACAGGATGTGTTTAATCAGTATATTGATACCGCTGTCATTGGGTATCATTATACCGGTAATCTAGAATTACTTTCTTTAATCTAATTAATCAGATGGTTCTGTACCAAAGAAAAAAAATGTTAATGGATGAATGAATAAGGATAAATAATTTTAAATATAAGTAGAGACAATTCTGTAATGAAATGTAGAGAACATGATCGAAATTCACGTAGAAATAACTGAATTGCATCAAGGAAAATAACAAATTCTGTTATAGGTTTCCAGACATACCTATCGTACTTTTCAATCCAGAAAATGCAAGAAACCAAGCCGAAAGATACTACTAGGTTTGCTTTTTGCTATTACAGGTTTATTACTCTATTCTTTCATTGAAACGGAGAAAAATTATCAAGTATGTATGTTTATAGTGTGCGTGTGTGTGTGTGTGTGTGTAGTTTTTATGTGCACATAAACATGTATATATTTTATAAATTTTACTGAATCAAAGAATTACATATCATATAAGTAAAGAATAAATAAGAAATTAAAAACAGGCTATAGGAGACTAGGAGTCAACACGCAAGTTATTAGTAATGCGGAGTTATACAAAGACGGTTTAACCTAGAACGTTTCGACTCTAGGTTTGAGTCATCTTCAGCTAATATTCGGAGTTAAAAATTAGTTAAATAAAAATGAATTCACGCATTGTACAATATCCACATCGCCAAAATTTGAAGTATATCGGTCAATGTTCAATAAGTTTAAGTATGAGGCCCTGAGCAATCGTCCAACGCAGTTACATAGCTGAGTTGAGAAAATTCTTCAACTCATATCTCCAACATATTCACGGTTCTTTTAACACATATCATAAATTCGAATCATAAACTTATAAAAATATAAAAATTGCACAGTTTTGAAGGCATCTAGTCGTTACAACTGATCATGACAATCATGAATTTTCTCAACTCAGCTATGTAACTGCGTCGGACGATTGCTCAGGGCCACATATTCAAACTTATTGAACATTGACCGATATACTTTATATTTTGGCGATGTGGATATTTGTACAATGCGTGAATTCGTTTTTATTTAACTAATTTTTAACTCCGAATATTAGCTGAAGATGACTCAAACCGAGAGTCGAAACGTTCTAGGTTAAACCGTCTTTGCATAACTCCGCATTACTAATAACTTGCGTGTTGACTCCTATAGCCTGTTTTTAATTTCTTATTTATTTTAATAAAAGGAGTTTGATTAAAAAAATTTTTAACTCACAAAATTTTTTATGTAGTTGATTATTTTGTTGTTGTTTTTTATATAAGTAAAGATTTTTTTATTGTGAATATTTTGGAGAAATGTTTAAAAAACGCTCCGTGATCTCCATACATTGGTCGCGTTCAGCGGACTCAATTGTTGTGTAGCGGATCCGTGAACGCTCGCTGCTATTGATGTATTCTTTTAGATCATCCAATAGCAGCAAGAGCTCACTGATCCGCTCCACAACAGTTGAGTCTGCTGAACGCAACCATTACCAACTAAATATCTCGCATTATACATCAAATTTAAAGAAAAATGAAAATTTTTTAATTTTTAATTTCATAGGTGGTAAAAAATATTGTGAAGATGCATTTTTATTGTAGAATTTAAATTGTCTTTTATGAGTGTTCACTAAAGGATTTTATTATTATTAAATCATGAGTATATATATATATACACACTACTCAACAAAAAATAGGGAACACTTTCGAACACGCTCAAAATTGCACAATATTACAATGACCGTAACTCGGTGAAAAATCATCGTAGATAAAAAAATAAAAAAACATTTTAAAGCTTGAAATCTCTACATTTGAAATCGGTAATTGATATTTCGATATGACTGATTTTTTGGAGACTTATACGGATATAAACAGATATCCGTCAAATCTAAAAATTTTGTGCGAAATTTACAAAGTTTCATGGCGTGAACTAAAAATCGCACACAAATACAGTTTACACCATTTGCGTGCGATTTTTACTTTACTCCATAGACCTTTGTAAAGTTTGTACAAAATTTGTACAAAATTTTCAGATTTGACGGATATCCATTTGTGTCCGTATAACTCCGTAAAAAATCAATCACATCGAAATATCAATTACCGATTTCGAAAGTAGAGATTTCAAACTTTAAAATGCTTTTTTGTTTTTTTATCTACGATGATTTTTCACCGAGTTACGGCCGAATGTTATGCAATTTTGAGCGTGTTCGAAAGTGTTCCCTATTTTTGGTCGAGTAGTGTGTAAAATATTTCCTTTACATTCTTTAAATTGCGCACTGAATTCCGCGCTGATTTCGTAAGCCCTTTATGTAATTACTGGATTATTACTTTCATTTTCTTTATATTTTTATGTGATGCTTTTTTGATCGAGTTACGGGATTTTCAAAGTTGTCTTCTTGATTCTTATCATTTCCTGAAAAATAACGCTTACCGTCGACATTAGCGTTACCCAATGTGCACCACGTGGAGATTGCCGGTCGGATTTTGCGTATCGTGTGTATGTGTATATGTGCGTATGCGTGTGAGAGACAGAGATGGACTTGCATGTGTATGTGGGTTGCTTGCGCATAGTTAGTATTGTGTGTTTCCTCCTCTCTGATCAATTACCGCTTATAGTAATTGTCGCATGTTTATGCATCTCTGAATTAAATCTATTGGAATTTTGTTCCAAATTTGTCGAAGCGCTTCTCCCAACTCATTCTAGTTGTGTGGCTGTTCCTCGCGGCGTCTTAATCGTCGTCCCAAATGTGCTCGATCGGATTCAAATCCGGGCTGTTGGGATGATTCAGCAATGCGATGTCATGTTTCTAAAAAAAAAAAAAACGGAGTTCGCGTCACGCGCGAAATTCCAACATTGGAACTCTCGCTTGCAGACGCTCATCCTTGGCGTTATGCCAATACGAGCTCATAACGGCGGTTCAGTGATGGGGATGCATTTCCATGGCAAGAGGGACTGATTTAATAATTCTACCACCTTCAGCAGTGACGAGCATTCGATATGTGAATGATATTCTCCGACTTCACATTTTGCCATCGAAGCGTCAATTGCGCCAGAACTTTGTGTTTATGCAAGACAACGCTCGTCCCCACACGGCAAATGTAACGCAACGTGGGTTTTTTTTTTTTTAAAACATGACATCGCATTGCTGAATCATCCCAACAGCCCGGATTTGAATCCGATCGAGCACATTTGGGACGACGATTAAGACGCCGCGAGGAACAGCCACACAACTAGAATGAGTTGGGAGAAGCGCTTCGACAAATTTGGAACAAAATTCCAATAGATTTAATTCAGAGATGCATAAACATGCGACAATTACTATAAGCGGTAATTGATCAGAGAGGAGGAAACACACAATACTAACTATGCGCAAGCAACCCACATACACATGCAAGTCCATCTCTGTCTCTCACACGCATACGCACATATACACATACACACGATACGCAAAATCCGACCGGCAATCTCCACGTGGTGCACATTGGGTAACGCTAATGTCGACGGTAAGCGTTATTTTTCAGGAAATGATAAGAATCAAGAAGACAACTTTGAAAATCCCGTAACTCGATCAAAAAAGCATCACATAAAAATATAAAGAAAATGAAAGTAATAATCCAGTAATTACATAAAGGGCTTACGAAATCAGCGCGGAATTCAGTGCGCAATTTAAAGAATGTAAAGGAAATATTTTACACACTACTCGACCAAAAATAGGGAACACTTTCGAACACGCTCAAAATTGCATAACATTCGGCCGTAACTCGGTGAAAAATCATCGTAGATAAAAAAACAAAAAAGCATTTTAAAGTTTGAAATCTCTACTTTCGAAATCGGTAATTGATATTTCGATGTGATTGATTTTTTACGGAGTTATACGGACACAAATGGATATCCGTCAAATCTGAAAATTTTGTACAAATTTTGTACAAACTTTACAAAGGTCTATGGAGTAAAGTAAAAATCGCACGCAAATGGTGTAAACTGTATTTGTGTGCGATTTTTAGTTCACGCCATGAAACTTTGTAAATTTCGCACAAAATTTTTAGATTTGACGGATATCTGTTTATATCCGTATAAGTCTCCAAAAAATCAGTCATATCGAAATATCAATTACCGATTTCAAATGTAGAGATTTCAAGCTTTAAAATGTTTTTTTATTTTTTTATCTACGATGATTTTTCACCGAGTTACGGTCATTGTAATATTGTGCAATTTTGAGCGTGTTCGAAAGTGTTCCCTATTTTTTGTTGAGTAGTGTATATGTACAGGGTGGCCCACGTAAAGTGTTACAAGCTAATAACTCTAAAAATATTTGTCCTGTCAAAAAGTTGTTCATGAGAAAGTTTTATATATTCGAGGGGCTTTTCTAACTACGTAAACAAAAATCCACCCTCGTCCCTCCTTGAAGAAGGACGGTGGGTAACTTCCAAGTTTCAAATGGGATTCCTGTAAAATGTTACATGTTTGGATTCTACGGGGAAAAACAAGTAAACTTTGTCTGAACATTTCTTTGGAAAATGCTCCTGTTAAAAGTTATGGATATTTAAACTTTAATGTAGCGTGCATTGAAATTAATGATAAATTAAATAAGATTCATAGTTTTTGTGTTTTTTTATTTTATTAAATGTTCGAAGTGTTGACCATTAACATCTAAACACTTATTAATTCTTTTTACAAAATTTTTTCAGAGCAACGCGTACTCTTTTAAATGAGATATTTCGTGACAGGTAGATAGGTCGGGGAGGTTCTGTTCAATGGCTCCCTTGTTCACCTAATATTTCACCTTTGGATTATGTTTTATGGGAGTATATCAAAGAGGAAGTCACATCTCAGCCATTTACGGTGAAAGAAGATTTAAAACGAAGAATACGTACAGCTTGCACTAAGGTGAATCTAGAAATATTTATATTTAGGCAAAGTTTCGTAAAAAGAATTAATAAGTGTTTAGATGTTAATGGTCAACAGTCCGAACATTTAATAAAATAAAAAAAAACAGAAAAACTATGAGACTTATTTAATTTATCATTAATTTCAATGTACTCTACATTAAAGTTTAAATGTTTATAACTTTTGATAGGAGCATTCTCCAAAGAAATGTTTCAAAGTTTACTTGTTTTTTCTAAATATATAACAATTTACAGAGGGTCCCATTTGAAACTTTGAAGTTACCGCCCGCCCCTCTTCAATGGGGAACGAGGGTGGATTTTTGTTTACGTAGTTAGAAAAGCCCCTCGAATATATAAAACTTTCTCATGAACAACTTTTTGATAAGACAAATATTTTTAGAGTTATTAGCTTGTAACACTTTACGTGGATCACTCTGTATATATTAAGAGCCTTATTTCTTGTTCATTTATTTTGTTGCAGTATGTGCACAGTGCTTGGCACATTATCATGGCAATATCGTTAATATTCTTGTTACTATCAGCAAAATTAAAACAAACCACATCATCGATAAATGCTTCATTCGAAAATGATAGTGAATCATGGAGTTGCAAAGAATTTTACGGAATCCCTACATTCACAATAATCGATCAAGAAAATGGAACAATTGCGTTAAATTGAATATATTTATAAAAATAAGTTTCCAAGTTTTCTTTTTCTTCTCTTATTTTTCTTGTTCCCTCCTTTCCTCCCTCCCCTTCCCTTCTTTCACCTCTTTCTTTATCTTTAATAATAATAAGTAATAGTTATATACATATATATAGTATATGTTATTTACGTTGTGCGTGCGTGCGTGTGTTAGAAATAAAAGTACATTACGTACCTATATATCAACATGAAATGTCGATTTTAAATAAACACTTTTTCAATATGTACCAATTATTAATACATTTCTATACGTAACATTTTTATTCGACTATTGTAATTACATACTGAATTAATCAACAAAATTTCATTTTAGAGATGTCAAAAGGTTTATGGGTTATATCACACGCCGTGTCGTGATTCATTACTAATGTCAATGTTTCGTGAACCTTGCCGTTCTGTTTTTTGTGACTGAACTAGTGTATGTACACTTTTGGAACTTAAAGTGAGATAGATATATGTTTAATATTTGATGATAAAGCTAGAAAGAGAATTCTAAAGCGGGGAGCACACCCTTGCATAACGCATAACACATAAGGCATAAGAAATTCAATCAATCATAGTTCTTTATTTCATGGAAAAAAGGAAACGAACGATTTTGATTGATTTATTTTCTTATGCATTACGTGTTATGCGTTATGCAAGAGTGTGCTCCCTGCTTAATGCAATTTAGGTGCAGGAATAAAAAACAGCCGCGATGTCATGGTTATTGGCACCTTTGAAAAAAACACTTGTGAAAGCCTCACAAGTTCGTTATCTTTAATATAATATAACAGTAGTGAATTCTAGACAGGGTTGAGTAAGTTAAGATACATTTTCATAGGCGTTAATAGACGCGCGTCAAGACGATTTTATAACGTCATGTTAGTTTCAGCTTCGACGCCCAGAAGTTCAGATTTTCGAACTTATAAGCGTCGCGCGCGAAAGAACACATTTAAAAAGAAGCGAAATGGACGATTCATTAGATGTAAGTAATAAATTAGTCAATTATATACTATAATAAAATTATTTATACATCTTCAATATATAAGTGTATTGAAGAAATAAATTGGATTTCAGCCGGTTTTTGTAAATACTTGCGGAGTTTGCGAAAGTATCGTGAACGAAACTGAAATAATTAATTGCGTGGTAAGATATTCAAATATTCTTTTGGATTCTAATTCAAGATACTTTTATCCACAATGTAGTTCAATTAAAAATCTTGATTTTAAGGTTCGAAATATATATTGAATAAAACAGCACAGTAGGTTTCCAACAAGATGACACAGATGACACAGTATAACACAATGAATCATATTATTGTTTGCCAATGTTAAACAAAGATAAAATAATCATTGTCTTACACTATGTGTGCTTCCCAGCAATCGCCTACACACACACACACACACACACACACACACACACACACACACAGAAAATTGTTGGGTATATATATATACAGGGTGTCTAAAAAAAACGGATCGAAACACAATGGGGACGGAGATTGGATCAAGGGGAACAAAACAGTTTTGTACCATTTTGCAGTTGACGCAATATTTAACGAGATATTAACGTTTAAATCTACGTCCCCATTGTGTTTCGATCCGTTTTTTTTTAGACACCCTGTATATATAAGAGATACCTTTATGAAGATTATTGCCGAGGAACGACAACCGAGTGGCTCCGACAGAGCTTCTCGGCGTAAAAAGTGGCGTTTTTATGATCAAATGTCTTTTGTTCGCAACATTGTTAAATACACCGTACGTAAATTTCATAACAATATTTTGCATTATACAGGGTGTCCAGCCCCACTCTTCCAATCTCCCACAGGAAGGTAGATGGGATCGAAATAAACATAAAAGTCCTTTACCGTTTAGCGATATCCGTAATAATAATCGAAATATTAAAGTTTGAAATTGTACTAATGAGAGCGCGCCTATAGAAAGAATAGAAACGGCTCCGGTCGCTCGAGGT